TCCTCGGGTAATTAATTTGGTCCGGATACCAAAACAAACACGCAGCAGCGGGATAGGCCGAGTGGCCATTTTAAAGTCACTTGCATGACTACCGCCGGAGGAAAATGCAAGACCATCAAGCAAAGCACTATCGTTAGCGTCGAGCGCGATGCTCCCAGACAGTTTTCCAGCAGTAGCGAGTCAGCAACCCCGCAAGGTTCGGGAACTTTTGAAAACGTCTCAAGTTGAAGTTTAAGCAATGGTTCAGGTAAGTGTGTGTATGTTTTCTCAGGCCGTAAAAGCTTTCCAGATTTGGAAGCGACGGCATCTCTCCTTCCTAAAAAAAGAGCAGGTCACGTGCGTCTGCCAGCCACTCAAAAAAAAAAAAAAAAAAAAAAAAAAAACACAAACCCTGCTGGCAGCCTGTCAGCTTCTCCGGCTCCTTTTTGGACTTCTTGCTCCAGCGGACCAAATGACAGCCACTTTGCTCGGTGTTTACGTACTTTCTGCCTCGAAACAGTTTAGCCGGTGCGAATGATTTGCAAGACGATTGGTTCCAGGTCGTCCCCTGCAAACAAATTGGTTAGGGATGCTGGGAAATGAAAGCACCTGGTGGTGTGTGGACGGCGTGCCCTGCGAAGCCTGATTGCAGAAAGTCTCACAGTGAGATGCTGCCATGGAAAACATGTTTTGTTTTTTTTTTTTTTTTTTTTTTTGCTTGCTTAGTCAGAACCTGACCATTTGTCCCTCGGGCCTTGTTGGATTTGACCACCAATTTCAGCGATACAGATGGTAAATTAAATACCGCCGAGTCGGCTTTCGGGTGAAAATGCTTCTCCTCACTAGACCAATCCAACAATGACAGATAATACACACCGACTTGGCTTTTGCCAGAGACAAAACCTCGTCTAACTCCTCCGGTTCGGTCACGCTAACCACCGTGATGATGTTCTGTCAAACACTACAGCATCCAACTCCCTCGCAACTTTCGCTCTCCCTTTACAAGGCGACCGCAAAACCAGAGGGAAGCCGCCGCAGTATTGTTCAGGCTCAAATGTTCCTCTGAGGGTGCAATTTTTTGTCGAAAATGCGATGTCTGAATGTGAGACCGAATCAGTTTGACTTTAAATGTGGAATAATTGAAAAAAAGGGTGGTCTTTTGGTGCAATAATAAATAAATCTCAGTCAGCATTTTTTTTCTGTAAGAAAAAAAAAAAAAAGACGAGAGGCAAACAGCTCATTCACATATTTTCCCATCCTCATCTCCCTGATAAATATCAACACTGCAATTCTTCTGGTTGAAATATTTAGAAATACAAGAGCAGCCAGCGGCTCTCCTTCTCAGCTTTGGCCGGCGGAGTGTAAACGTTGGTTCACTTCAACGACCTTGTAAGACAGCAAAACTGAATTGTTTCACGTTTACCGGCCAACAATTGGAGCAAACCTTCACTTCAAATGCTGATGAGCTGCCACTTGCTGGGGGAGGAAAGAAAGAAAAAAAAGGGCACCTGCAGTCCAGCTGAGTAAACAAAACAACACAACAAAGTAACACAAAGTCACACAACATAACACAAAGCGACGTCACCGAACAAGGGAACAAATCACTCTTTTGTGATAAGTCCTATTCATATTTTAATATTTCATTTACTGGTTACCATGGGGTTAAAAATGCTACGCTATTGGCACAGCATTAGCATGATTAAATAACATTATTTTAAAACATAGTTTTGAAAATGCCGAAGTCATCGCTTTCTCAACACTTTGTGACCTTCTGGTATGACAACATCACAGTACCTGCTTGTTTTCAGCTCCATCTTTATTTTCCGCTCTGACTAACTCTTTCCATGCGAGCTAGCGCCGGACACCGGGATGCCAGGCACTCCCAGATCAACAACAAACTTTTTGGATGCGTCACGTCGTTTTAGGATCTTCCACTCAAAGTGAACAAGCTAACAGCTAGCAACATCACAGAAGAAAGTCATGACGTTGCACAAACGTTTAACTGTTTGTGCCCTCAAAGCCTGACCAGCTAGAGGCTTTAAACTAGCTCTACACTAGCATGCTAAAAGCTAATAAGATCAAAACACAAGCCGTGAGGCTTCCATAACTAGCCACGTAAAACTAAACTACACCAAACTACGGAATGGCTAGGTTACCTGGAAACACACATTGTTGTACAAGCCTTGTACCACACTTCAGAAATGTCGGAACTAACGTGCTAAAACAAAAGTCCAATCTATCGTCATAAAATATAACCATCACAAAGAAGCCCTGATGGCTCCCACAACTCAATAAATGTCTGAGCTAATATGCTAACCACTATTTCCCAAACAGCCACTTCGATCTTAATGTGTTCTGTTATTTCAATTATAATTAGACTTCATGACCAAAGTAAGGTGCGAGCTGACGCCACCACTTCCTGTGTTTGTCCTCACATTTGAAAGCTTCTTTTTTTTTTTTTTTAAGCATCCGGAACTCAAAGTTGATTCTTGTTTGATCGCGAATAAATTTAGCCATTCCTGTTTCCCCCTTTGTGTTTTGATTTGTGGCCTTCCATTTAGATAGCACGCCACTCCACGCGCATGTCACTTCCTGCGTGGGGGCGTTTAAACGTTTCCTTTTCAAAACACAATTTGAAGTTAATTTTGTTGCACGCCCAAAAAAAAGGGGAAAAAAAGGGGAGGAAAACTTATACACAAACTCATAAGGCATATTTGACTGTTTGGTGGCAAGTGGAATGTGATGTTTGTGTAGCGTAACTCTTCCCTTCTTTATTTACCTCAACTCCAGAGGGGGTGAGCTCTTTATTTAGCTTGTGAAGACCACCACCAACCCTGATAAAACACTGCGTTATCTTTTTACCAGATGGGTCTTGTTAGGTATGGCCCGCCTCTTCTTTAATGCGAGTCTCTGAAGATGAGCGTTTTGGTTAATTGATTTATTGTGAATATTTGTAAAAATAAACTTTTTATTAAATGTGGTGAATAATAATTCATAAAGTTACGAATGAGACCAACAAAAAAAGAGAACTCATGATCTAATTTCTGGAATAACTTCTATTCACATTGGGACTATCACGAGGGGCTTTTAAGAGGATTGTGATGTGACGGTTGGCTTGTAAAGTCATCTTGGATGCTGCGTGACTGCGGACCAGATGATGACCGACCTCAAAGAGCAGCAGAAGCAAAGCCGGTGTTTAGACAAGATCCTGACAGGACGCAGCTTTTGGAAAAAATGACTGAGCTACTACGGATGAGAGGATACCCAGCGGAACGTTCACTGCAAAGTTTACATTTTTTGATTGGGCAAAGACTTTAAAAGACATTGGAACAACAGTAGCAGGCACCCGAGTGGCAATTATGTGCACTGATTTGTTTGGAAAGTCTCGAAATCACATCCGTGCGGCTAATATCTTCCAGAAACACAAGAGTCCTTTTAAAATGTACTTTTTTTAAATGATTTATTTTCACTTGAGTCAATCAGAAAAGCCACTTTGTCAGCCAAAATCTTCATGAAATATATTAGCTTTGAGCTTCAGCTGGCAGGATAGCAGGCTGTGTTTTTTTCCGAATTAGCACAAATGTTTTAGCTACAAATGCTACGTGGCTTGAAAACATATGAAAATTAGCAGGCTAATGTTAGCCACATAAGTGTATGGCTGGCCAGTGGCCTTATCCAAGTTAGCAAACAAATGTTGGCGACTTTCGATGTTTAGCTGGCTGAATTTACTGAATTGGCTCATTGGTTTTTGGCTACATTGGCTGTGTCGGTAGCATGATAATGTTAGCTACATTAGCTGTATGATAGACTGTGTGGCTCAATGTGACAAACTATAAGTTGTGAGAAAACGACAGTTGCTTGTTTACATTCAAACTTGGTTGGTCGCAAACATGATTAAATTACATTTCTATGAGTCTAATGGACCATTTAGTCAGGCCACTTTACAACAGCAATGGAGCTGGCTTGTAAAATGACTTGGGAGAAAAAAAAAAAACTATGTACAAGAAGATGCTAAGCGCTAAGGAAGCTAGGCACATCAAATATACCATCTTTTGGTGATGGAAACACAAATCAACACTAGTATGGTGTGGAACACTGAGCTGAATCATCAATGTCCCAAAATACAAAAACTACCCCTTCTCCTTTCAACCAACATCAAGTCCAATTTACATCCTCTTAAAATGAGTTTTATTAGGCGAAGTTCCTTTTCTTTCGACTTTCACGACAAACAATCCTACTCTGCCCGGATGGGGTCCCACTCTCGTTAAGGAAGGTCCCCAATTACTGCGCGAGAGGTAAATAATGAGCACAATGCCGCTTTTGTCACACTCCGATCACAGCTCCAGATCACCGAACGGCTTGCGTGGCCGCCAGCACCGTCCCAGAGTCACTGACCAATTCATTAGGTACACCGGCAGCACAATCTGACTCCTGCAGCCTCACCAGCGGGTCAAAATATTTAGAACGTCTCTCAGGGTTATAAAAAAGGTTGTGAAGGGTTTATTTTAATTGCCTACAGACGCCACAAGATGGCGGCAAAACACTAAAATATGTGAATCGTTCACGATATTAGACGCCCGAGCTGTGATGTAACTATGGGAACAAAAAGCGATGAACACGTCATTTGCACAAACTCCTGATAAAGTTGGCTGGAATTTACGGGGACTTCCACCTTCCCATCAGCTAATTGCAGTGTGTGGTCGCGTTCCGTCCCCCGGGGCGGTCGTCTAATCAGTGCACATGAAAAGCTGATCTTATCAAATGCGGCGCAAACATGCATTCGGGGTTTATGTCATTAGCGCTGTCAACTGCCGGTCGTCTGAGGTTGACGCGTACATTTAATGAGATGGACTTTTATGAGTTCATTAGTAGGAAGGCAGAGTCTCATTTTGTCAGAGAACGAGGCGCCAAAAGAGGCTCAAAGCTGCTCTGTTGCATTTGATTTAAAAAAAAAAAAAAAAAAAAAACTATAAAAAGAATAATCCAAACAAGAGACTGGTTGTAAAATGTGAGACTGAAACTTTGTGCGACCAAAAATGCAATAAAAAAAGAACAGCGACACGACCACCCACAGTATTGGCTCACATGTAGGAAGACATTTCTGCTCCATTACTTTGAATAAACTTTCAAAAAGGCAATAACCGGGAAACTTGACTGTAAAAAAAAAAAATAATTTGACTTGAAATATTTGTCATGCAGCTACACACGATGGGTTCTATCCAACAAAAAGGCTGACTCGGCAAACTACAGATTTGAAACAGCCATATAACAGCGATTCCAATAAGCATAGATCAACATTTACCGCGCTTCACACCCAAAATATTCCCCTGCTTTGCTCTGCTTTTAAACGGCGGAATGACAAACTTGAAGTGACTCAAAACGAAGCGACTGAAAATCAGCACAGGCAAACTCCGCCAAACACAAGAGGAACACTCGCTCGACTTGTCACCTGTCAGAGCTTCAACACGGCAGTCCTTTTGCGATCTCCGTCAAAGTCACAATCCATCCAAAACCGAGCAATCCTCGGGCATCCTCTCAACTTGACGCACGATGATGCGTCAACGTAACCGGAGCAACGAGACACTCACCGCCCGCTTGGTCACCTGCTGTGAAACTCAGCACGAGAAATAATCCAACACACCAGGGTGGAATCCTGCACAAAAAAAAAAAAAAAGACCACAAAAATCAGATTAAAAACTCACTTCAAAGGTGTTCCAATCAATTCGATTCCTCTGTTTGTTTACCGTGAGTTCATCTTGACAGCTTTGGATCACAACGAAACTCTGCTCATGTGAGTGAGAGAGAGAGATGGAGTCCACTCGGACTCGTGAGGGTTCGCTCGGAGCTTAAAAGCCTGGCTTCGCCTCCTCCTCTTCCTCCTCCTCCTCCTCCTGGTCCAAACAAAGCAGCTTCAGTGCACCGGCTCCCTAAAAAATGGGCGGGAAGGGGAGTTTGAAACCTGATTCCGGACCACCGGCATCTTACCCTATCCCACCTCCTCCCAACACACACACACACCCACAGCAGTCAAGTCCTCCTCCTTCTTCCTCACTTTCACTTTGATGTAAAGTCCCTTCCCGCGTGGCCTTGACCTCAACACATCCTCGCAGCCATCGATTTCTCTTTAATTATCTCCAAACTGGCTCAAAATATACATTAAAGGCTTCTTCTTCGATGTAACTCAGCCAACGTTTTTTTTTTTTTTTTTCAAAACCAAAGGACGGGAAATTCCCCCTGCACACAAGCAGACCTCATATTTATTAATATGGAATTTGGTTATGAACAATTGAGCAAGTCATCAGATAAATGCAATAAAGGGCAATCTGCCTGTTGCCAAATAGTGATCCCTCATAGGGTTCTCATGTTTTACCCTGGCTCAGTATTTAGCAATGATAGGCCTGACACTTGACGATATGACTCGCCTTTGACCGTAACAGGAGAGTTTTAATACTGAAGTGAGAAAATTGGAAAGTACACATTAGCCAAAAAGTGGAAGAATACAGAATACAATACGTTATGTTGATGTCATCGCTAAGAATTAATCAAAAGCACTTTTTGTTAATCATTGTTGGCTCACTATTAGGCTTATCCCTCAAGACTTTCTCGACCATGAAGCAGCAGCTTGACTACATTTTCCAATATGAGGCTCACTATGGTGTGCGGATTTAAAAAAAAAAAAACGGGTTTTTTTACATTGATCCCTACGAGTCAGTGCATTAAGCTCCCCCTTTCGGATTCCCTGAAACATTCCTGGTGGGATTGGAAACGCTATCCTGCCTTGTTGACTTATGCAGAAGACCTGAGCG